CAGCAGGGCTGGTCTGGACAGCCCCCCCCAGCACCCATCTCCCCCCTGCCAGAGCCAGCCACCGCGCGCACCAGAGCTGTCCTGGGAACAGGGCAGAGCCGGGAGCAGGGGGCTGCGGTGAGTGAGCAGAGCCTCCATGGCAGGCAGGAATGAGCCAGACCCTCCTGGGCAGGTCAGGGTGGATGTGACCCTGTGGCTGCATGGGTGACATCTGTCACTGGGAGCTGGAGTGGGGACAGAGAACAGTTGCAGGCAGCTCCCTGGAGGGAGCAGCAGAGCCTGGAGAAGGAGAGTTAGAGGCCTCCCGGGAGAGCAGGGTTGGGCAGGCAGCAGCCCTGGCCGGGACCCAGCTCCGCCAGCCGGGCAGCCCCCTGCTCGGCACCCAGCAATGAGCAGGCAGAGGGACCGCAACCATGAGAAAGGGGTTTGTCGGAGATTTCGGGTGCTGCTGTCTGAGCCTTCCCTCGGCTGAGCTTGTATCTGGGTTTCTCAGCCTCCCCCTCATAGGCCTATTTGCGTTGCTCCAAACTTTCCTAAAAAGCTTCTTTTTTTGGCAAAAACATTCTATTTTTGGTCTCAGTCCAGAGGGATTTTTTTTTTCCCAAGTTTGATTGAATTAATCTGTCCGGCTGTTTTCTACTTGGGCAATTGAAGGGAAAATTGTGCTCTTCCCATTTGAAAAAAAATAAAATGAAGCCATTAATGTTACAGAGGTTTAGGATTCTTTTTTTTTTTTTAACCCAAATATTATAAACTTCCTTTTTTTCCCTTGGGAAGATCCTGCAAGTTTTGCAATGTAAACTGCCCAGCACCAGGGATCTGGGCTACACACGCACATGTACGGCTACACCCCTGGACTCTACAGCTACACATGGCAGCCCCACAGCCACCCTTGTGCACCCCTGGCTCACACCAGCCCCTCAGAGCTGGGTCCTGCCTGAGCACTGCCCCCAAGAGCATGGGGCCAAGAGTTTGGGAGAGAATTGGGGGGCTCATACATACTCACATGCACACTCCCATGCGCTTCCTCCCAAGTACAATCCCACGCATACCCATACACATACACCCCCATGCACACAAGTCCCCATGTACAGCTCCCCAAGCACAGCCACCTGCACACCCCTGTGAACCTCCACGAACCCCCGTGCACACCCACACTCATGCAGCCCCACGCACATTCCCCCATGCACACCCCTATACACTCCCCACCATGCCCTCCCATACACACCCCTGTGCAAATTCCCCGGACATCCTCATGCCC